TKGGGGGGAATAAGGAGAAAGACGGTGTGATTTAGTACACCTCTTGTGATTGGCTACTTAGAACAATAGGAGTATTTTGTCAAATGAGGAAGAAGACTCGATAAGTCACGTTGGAAGATGGAAACGTTGAGACATGGGATGATGGTACGGTAGTTGGGTAGGATATTATATAACGCCCAAGGGCAAATATAAAGTCAAAAAGCAAAGGAAGTTTTTAATCCTTCAACTGTTGTAAAACATATAGTKAACTGAAGAGGTTTTAATAAACGAAAKTAGTTTTCACTATTCTTGGTAGTYCCTGGCCTGTACGTACGAAAATCATTWTGTTGGAGTGATTTACATTTGTAAAGTTTRTGGCYGTTACAAGATTTTTTTGAWGTCTCGGCGAAAGCCCTATTTGTCAAAGATAATCCTAAACGCCTTTCGATTTTCACAGTTCCTGACAAGGCTCCAAACATTAGCGAGTCCTACAACACGAGCTCAACCAGCATATACATAGCATGGACCCCAATACCTCAAGARAACGTCCGAGGGATTCTCAAGGGTTACATGGTCATATTCAATGAYACCAGTGGTGTCGAAAACGTGGTTTTTGTCTGTAATAATAGCTTTAATGTTACCAAGAATRATTTGAAGAAATACGAGAGATATGAAGTTAGTCTGAGCGGGTTTACAAGGGAAGGGCTTGGAGTGCTCAGTCAACCATATGTCATCACTACGGATGAAGATGGTGAGTTGAAAAGAAACTTCACTCTACGAGTTTGCATACAATACAAAACAATGCAATACAATACAATGCAACGCAATTCAATGCAATTCAGTGCAATTCAATACAATACAATTTAATACAATACAATACAAAACAATACAGTGCAATACAATACAATTTAATACAATGCAGTACAATACAATACAATACAATACAATACAATACAATACAATACAATACAATACAATACAATACAATAACATGCAGTACGGCAATACAAAACAATACAGTGCAATACAATACAATACAGCACAACACAAACAACGCCACGCCACGCATCGCATCGCATGGCATTGCAATGTAGTACAATTTATTTATCAGGACATGACATTAATAAAATCTGATGATCTGACTAGTGAATCCCATATCGACTTATATCATTTGTTCATCCACAGCACCTGAATCTGGYGTMGAAAATTTGACAACTGCTGTTGTACAAGCTAACTCGTTAGTCCTGTCTCTGTCTCCTCCATCCCCTGAGAATGCTAATGGYGWTATYWCTGGTTATTTAATCACRAAGTACGACAAACTAAGAAATATAACGACGAACATAACAGTGAACGCAACTCAGAAACAGCTTATTCTAGACTCCATGAAGCCCTTTACTGATTATAAYATTACTGTTACGCCATTTAACAAGAAAGGTATTGGAAAACCTACCACCATTAATGTGAAAACTCAAGARGCTGGTAAGSATATGTTATCAAAATATAGTAGAAACSCTCTCTGACCGTTTCATTTGGCTTTCAAGACATGGCTAATATTGCGTGATGGCGCACGCGTCAAGAATGTTGTATTTTCCCGCCTTTTTAACCATTATCCGGTAAAATGTTTTACAGCGTCATTCATCCGTGTATACGTTCAAATTTGTACAACAAATTAACTATAAACAATGCTGAATAAAAGAGGCGTAAAATTAAGAAGAATTTACTTAAGCAAAAGACCTTTAGGCAGAGCATCACTTGGTAATACAGTAAAGCCGCCGCTACACGAGCGATTTTTCGCTTGCGCAGGCGACGCGATTTTCTCAAAATCACCAGCGCACGATGTARCTACGCGAGAAATAAAGCTGTATCGATAAAAAAAACTCACAAATACTTATTTGAATCTCCATAAAGACGTACATGTACAAAAACAGCTCAAATTCGATGTTCAGCTTTCGTCATACCCGAAAATCGCGTCGCCTGTGTAGGCGCGGCTTAAGCTACTGGAAAACACGAATAAGCTTTCAACGAATGAGAACTTCGTGCTGGACTGCCTGAGGTTTCTGATTGAATGTTGCGTCGTGTTTGTTTCTTTGCGTGTTTGTTTTTATATTGATGCCAATGGAAATCACCATTTTTAGTAGTTTTATTTAAAATTAGTCATTATTTCATAGAAGTAAGTAAATAATAATAATAATAATAATAAGTGTTCTGTTTCCATGCTGCCTACAGCACCAAGTGCTCCTCCATCCAATGTACTTGCAACAACGACCTCTGGTGCATCAATTTCAGTATCTTGGGATGCTGTCGATAGTTTGCATGTTAATGGMAAAGTCAGGTTTTATGTGATCGTCTACTACAAGCTATCAGCACCAGAAATTAAATATAATGTAACCATTAGGTAAGCTTCAAATACATCRACAGCACGTCTTCATTTGTTTGAAGGTTCAGCGTTGTTTATCCAATAAKSKSTSTGWKWYTCYYCKSKRTMYMMAMWCTCTCTTGTTTATTGTTGYCTTATTTTCAATCAAATCTCCGAACTGCTTTCGGGACCATCCCCAAATCCGAACGATCTCCGAACGACTCCGATTATTGATTTACAGTTCGTTCATGTTTGCGGGAGATGTCTCGAAAGCAGTTCCGTCAAGTTCGTAGTTGACCACAGTAAGAGTGCTGAATGGCGAGAACCGTGCTGCCATTTGCAGTATATAACAATGACTGGCCACGGGGCCAGGGTGTAAATTTATATATTTTKTTCTGAAATAGAGTGAAAGACGAGTCGTCCAAAACTCGACGAAAAAGAAGAGCCATTGATTCGCATGTTCTGACAGGACTTGCTCCCTATACAGAATATGGCGTCCAAGTACTGGCAGTAACAGTTGCTGATGGAGTGCCAAGTATTCAGTTCAACGTAACATCAGGACAAACTGGTATGCAATTTTCTTTGACCACAGGCAGCCCAACACTCTCTCAACAAACCCATAGTCATACATTTGCAGAAACCCCGCTATTACGAACACTTAAAAAATCCTCTCTCCTGACAGAAAGTAACTTAACAGCTGAAACTCGCTATTGTGGACACTTTGTTAAGTGTTCGTCATAACGAGTGCTGATAGTCGACCTTGTGTTCTAATCTAATAGACCTCTGAACCTTTTACGTCACTACTGCATTTGCAATGCATTGTGGGATCAGTTTCTAGAGAAAGCAAAAGAAATCCGCCATGTTCTGTCCCAAACATATCCTACAATGCATTGCGTATACGGTACATGACGTAAAAGCTTCAGAGGTCTATTGTTAAATGATTGTTGTAGCTTACTATACACCCTTTTAATAAGTCCCGAGGTATTGTTTTCTCCGCACTTGACGTCAAATTTATTCTTTTGAAATTTTTACAATACAAAAGGAATTCACAAGAATAAATTTGACGTCAAGTGCGGAGAACGTAATACCTCGGGACTTATTAAAAGGGTGTATACCGCCATTGAAGTACATCAATACTAATAATTTCTCAATTCATGTTTATAGCCCCTAGTTTTTACCCGTTGAATCTTCACGCTCACAATACAAGTTCGACATCACTGTTGGTTCGCTGGGATGAAGTTCCTGATGAACACAAAAATGGAATCATAACSAAATATGAAATAAGCTACACRAACGAATACGACAAAGCATCACAAATMGAGGCCGTGAACAATGGAAGTTTGATGASTACAACCTTGAGTGGTCTAAAGAAGTACGAACGATAYCATGTTAAAGTACGTGCATTCACTGTTATTGGTCCAGGAAACTGGTCTTTACCTGTCACTGCCAGGACAGGAGAAGATGGTAAAYATGACTAAAAAATCTRTTAATGTTTTCTACGTTACGTCAAACTTTTGACAGAATCATACGCATAGAGATGCAGTCAAGTGTATATGGTGAGACATCGACATAAACGCAGGCATAAGCATAAGAACAAAATAAAGTAATTAAAGGTTCACGTGCAGCTTTGCGATTTMTTGGGGGTTTACAAATGATATAGTTTTGTTRAAAGGTTTTGTCGATTGGTTAAAAATTAAAGATAGCAAATTTTCGGCTCAACTTTGATGCACTTGGGACTTTACCAACAAAGGAAGAGCTCTCAAAAAACCCTGACCCTGACTGGTTTCCTAATGTGTTTATTTGTGTAGTTCCAGATGGTTACCCAGTGAATATCACCGCTACTGCCACCTTAACAACATTTACTGTCAAATGGGACGTGATGGCAAAAAGACAGGAGAATGGCATCATACAGGGCTATCACGCAGCAGCCTTTATGATGAATGGTACMCAACGATCGATGACAACCGTTTACGGTCAAACAACCGCTGTCATCAGAGGACTTGACATATGGGTGAACTATACTGTRCAAGTACGTGGATTTACTAGTGTTGGAAACGGAGGATGGAGCCCCTCGCAGCTTTACACCACCGATGAACAAGGTAGGTAGGCTTGGTTCTATTGAACGTCGTGCAATCGTCGCACGAAAAACGTAGCAAAGACGTGTAAACTATATTTAATGAAATTCCAACCTGCAAAAAGCAAAGTTTTAATCATGATTTCAGCAAAAGGCTTATTTAAGATTCAATCAAACGAATTGTCATGTATTCACCTCGAAATCGAATGATTGACACAACATCCTTACTACACACGACGGACATAATAATAATAATAATAATGTGCTATTTATATAGCGCAAATATCCATAAGTTCATATGCGCTTTACAGCAATAAGAATTGAATAACAATAAAACTTGTAAAATATAAAAAACAGATCTTAAATTTATATCTTATAAAATATTAAAAGGAAGTTAATATGCCTGTAGAAAAAGCCAGGTCTTTAAAGCTTTTTTAAAATTTGATAAACAAGAGCTAGATCTGATATCACTTGGTAGTGAGTTCCACAATTCAGGACCAGAGAAAGAAAATGCCATAACAAAACTATATTTAACAATTATGACCCTTAAAAACTTCACAAATTCCATTATCATTATCTCAACTAGTATCATCGTCATCATCATCATCATTATCATCATCATAGTAAAGGTAGGACATTCTTTCACTTTCTTTCTTTCTTATTGTAGCTCCTAATTTGTATATTTCAGCTCCTCAAGATTTCCCAACTGAAGTCAAAGCACAATTCAYCAGCTCYACKTCCATCCGAGTTCAATGGAACCCGATCAATGCTTCCATCACGAGGGGTATTCCACGTGGTTACAATATTTATTAYCGTGCTTTAAAAACTCCATTCTCTAGACGTTTACATGTAATCAACGCCAGCGTAGACGCCGTAAGCGCRGAMTTGTCTAATTTATACAAGTACGTCGAGTATGCGATATACATTAAAGCCAAGACTAACAAGGAAGGAAATCAAAGTCAAACAGTCAAAACATATACTGACGAGGACAGTAAGTTATCGCAACTAGTTAAGTTAATAGGCAGGGAAGGATCATGCATGGGGTTGATCATAGCTAGGGACAGAACAAGGGGTTAGTCATAGGCAGGGATGGAACAAGGGGTTGACCATAGGTAGGGATGAATCAATCTTCTCCAATATATTCATGGGTAATATATAATTTCAAAAACTCAAAGTGAAAGTTGATGATCTTTGCTGTATGAAGACTCTGTAACTGTAGTGGATTTTCCTTTGTTTGACCATAGGAAATAAAATAATCAATAATCAGTTAAATAGGTTAACAGCTCTAGTTTTGTACCCCTAATAAGTAAATCTTATTCTCTTTCCAAGAACCAGATAAGCCTCCTTCAGCTTTGTATCACCGCCTTCCAAGTCCAGACAGTATCTGGATTGAATGGCGAGAAGTCCCATATGGATATACTAATGGCATCATACTTGGATACAAGCTGACAATTCAAAATACTAAGAAACCTGGTAGCTTGACTACAAAAACCTACAGAGCTGGGACCTTTTCGACAACTTTTTTTGGGCTGCCAAGTTATGTGACCTTTGAAATCAMRCTTAGTGCGTTCACAGTCAAAGGAGATGGACCSCCCCTGATACGAGCCATCAGAACAGATGAGAATGGTAAGCCTTGTATCGTTTTGTTGTCTTTATACTTAATAAACTGTCGCCTTGCAGGGAACTGCACAATGATATTATGAACACTCTGTTACAACATATGTATATCCCCAGTATAAAAAAACTATAGATCTATATAAGTTATAACGAACATCTCGTTAAAGGGACACTGTCAATGGATGACATGCGCGAGTAAACTTGAAAACACTAGGCTAGTGTTTTCAAGTTTATGACTCCAAGTTGGCGCGACATAAATCAGATCGTAAACGTAAACAGATCTAGAATATTCCAAAGTGTGTCAAAAGCACCACAAAATGATTTACCTCGAAGGTTATACTTTCAAAGTCCGTTAGAGGTGAGACTGTTACTGCGCAWGTCATCCATTGACAGTGTCCCTTTAATAACGGGCATTTTACATGTAATAAACCTCCAAATCAAACATTTCACTGGAAAAATATACTCAATTCTTGCCTTTYTCATACAATSYGTTTGCCTTTYAGTACCTGACCAGTATCCACAGAATTTAAAGGCCGAAAGCTTCACCTCAAGCAACTCACTTCCTGTTTCGTGGGACCCTATCC